TTGTCTGACCCTTTGATCCCTGGGGCGTAGAAATGGCCCAGAAGATAGACTGGTTTTGAAGACAGAAGTAGCTGCAGGTGCACCCAAGAAGGCAAGAGGTGTGGTTGGGAGGAACAGGTGCTCTCATTCAAGACAGCCAGACTGGATTCCAACCCTAGGCTTCCCACTTCCTACCTTCTTGTCTCTGCATTTCAGGGTTGGGTTTTTTCCTTTTTCTTTGTTTGTTTGTTTGTTTTTCGTCTGTGCCATGAGAATAATATTAGCACCCAGGCCTCACAGGAGCACAGTCAGGGCTGAATGAGATAATACATCTAAACCATTTGGAGCTGTGCCTAACACTTAGTAAGCATCCATGGATTTTAGTAACTTCATCCTTCAATTTCCTCATCCCTGGTCCTGATGCTTCCCTTGAACATTCATCTTCACAACTGCATCCCACCCCTTGCCATCACTCCTCTGAAATCTGGACCACCAGCTTTTCCCTTAGCCTGTTACGCTGGAGGGACCTGCCCTTCTCTAAGCCCCTTCTCACCCTGGGTCATCAGCTGCTGCTTGTCCAGCCCAGTTCTTCTGCGTGACATGTCAACCACTCCTGCCCACATCTGCTGTGCCATCTGGCCCTGGTCAAGTGGCTCTTCTGCCACTCAGAGCCCAGTGTCTACAAACCGACACCTCATGCTGGAGCAAGTCACACCACCGCGGAAGCTGATGGCAGTCCCCACCCACAGTCTCTAGCTTTAGCAGAGCCATTATCTCTTTGTCCCTGGTCACATCCCATCCCCTGTGCCACGAGGCCTTTTTTGCTCAGCAAATGGAGACGCTGCCTTCCACTCCCTGGGAGCTCCCTTTCCTCTCAGTATTTCCCCTTCAAGGTCTTTCCTCTCCAGGGACCCTGCACACCCCTCCCTTCATCTATGCCTCTCCACCCAGACACCCAGAATCTAGGAATGGCCAGCCCAACAGACAAACCACTCTCCTTGACCCTAACCTCTCCAGGGCCTTGGCCCCTCCTGGCCCCTTTAGACTCTGCCCTTCATCCCCCCTTCCCTCTAGCCTTGTTTGCATCTTCTAGAGTCTCCTTCTCGAACCCCTTTTCTGTCTACTCCTTCAGTGCTTTCTGTTGTTCTTAATTTGGTTGGTTTGGGTTGGGTTTGATTTTTGAGACAGGATCTTGTTTTGTAGCCCAGGCTAGTTAATAGAACTCACTCTGTAGCCAAGACTGACCTTGAACTCATGACAGTCCTCTGGCCTTGACACCCTGGGTGCTAGGATGACAGGCCTGTGGCCCGTGTGTAGCTTTACTCTGTGAATATGGACATTCCCAGCTAGCTTTGAGAATACGCGTCAACATCCCTGAGTTGGAGGCTGAGCACATGCTACACACACACACACACACACACACACACACACCTTTGTGTTCTTAATCCATCCAGAACTCAGACATCCCCATCCCTTCCTGTACATGGGATCCCCTTCCAGTAACCCATTTCCCACAATGCACTTTGGAGTTGGTTTTACAATATGAACTGACCACATTGTGCTTCAATCTAAAACTCCCCAGGGGCTCTTCAGAGCCTTAAATTCCAAGAGTGAGTCCCTGCCTTGCAACAGCACCCAGCACACTCTAGTCCCCTCCTGCAGTGCCAAACAGCAACCACTTACCTTCGCCATCTACTCTGCTCCCTAAGACAGGCGCAGTCACCTATGTGAAGGAGGTTTCCTGTACTACTAAGTTCCTTCAAAACAAGCCACTGCCCTTCAAGATAAATTAATAAGTCAGTAACGAATCAAATAAATGAAAGATCGGTGAAGCCAAATCTCGTGAGCCTGGTGCAGAACTCAGACCTCTACCACTCTTCCTGCTGCTGTTGTTGCTGGGGATCAAACCCAGCACCTGGCGCGTGCAGGGCACTGTTCTATCACTGAACAATAGCCCAGCCCTTCAGAAAACTGGAAATTTTGAGACAGGGTATTCACAAGTCATTCAAGCTCGCCTTGAACTTACTCTGTGACCCTACAATCCTCCTGCCTTGGCCTCCTTAGCAGTTTGGCTATAGGCCTGCACCATCAGGCCCACTGAATGCCATGCTCAGCTGCACCCTTCAGTCTCTCTTATCCCCTCCCCCAGACATTGATGGAAATCTGGCCACACTGATGTGTATGCTGCCCCACAGATGACATATGAAGGCTGTGTGTGTGAAAGCAGTCAGTTACAAAGGGCCACATGTTATACAATTCCATTTTTGTATGTGTGTGTTTGTGTGTGTGTGTGCGCGCATGTTGGGGATTGAATATAAGGCCTTGAGCAAACTAAGCAAGTGCTCTACCACCGGGTTACATCCCCAGCCATCTTGCTTCTTGAGACAAGGTCTCTCCCTGCTTGAAGTTTGCCAAGTAGCCTGGGCTGGCTCCAATCCCAAGGGATCCACCCATTTCCACGTCCCCAGCACTGGGATCACAGATGTGTAATGTCCAGCTTTTTTTTTTTTATGTGAATTACGGGTTTGAACTCAGGTCCTTACCTTGCAAGGAAAGCACTTTACACATTAAGCTTACTCCCCAGCCCAATGCACTACAAATTTTTTGTTTGGTTAGTTGTTTTTGTTTTTGTTTTCAAGACAGGATTTCTCTGTGTAGCCTTGACAATCCTGGAACTCACTTTGTAGACCAGGCTGGCCTCGAACTCAGAGATCCATCTACCTCTGCCTCCCAACTACTGTATTAAAGGTGTGTGACACCACTGCCCAGTTTATACTTTTCTTTTAAAAACTAGAAGAAAGTATTTTGAAAGTTTCTACAGTAAGGAAATGATCAATGACTGAGCAGATATCTATGTTTAACCTAATTTAAATATTACACAGTGCATATATTGGAACAGTACATGGCATTTCATCCGTGTATGTATATACATGTGTGGTTTTGTGTTATTTTGTTTGTTTGTTAAGACAGGGTTTCACTACGTAATCCTGGCTGGGCTTGAACTCACAGGGATCCTCCGGCCTCTGCTTCCTTTAGAGGTGTGCACCATCACACCTGGCTAGTTTTTGTTTTTTATCTGAGAGGCAGAGGCAAGCATATCTCTGAGTTCATACAGCAAGTTCCAGGCTGTCCGGGGCTACATATGAGATAGAGTGGGGAGGGGGAAGGAGCCCATTACACCATGCACTTTAGGTGGGTGAGTTATGAGATATATGAATACATTAATAAAGCTATTTTGGAAACCCCATTAGCAAACAAAGGGTGCAGTGGCCCTCTCTTGTCACCTTAGCACTTGGGAGAGTAAATTAGGAGAGCTGGCATGAGTTTGAGGCTAGCCTGGGCTATACTGCAAGACCATGTCTCAAAAATCCAAAAAATAAATAAAGCCCACAGTGGCTTCCAATCCCCCAGAAGGTGAGACTCCCTGTGACACTTAGTCTCTGTGACCGCAGAACACACTTAGGTTGGGCGGGGCTCTGTTCCTAAGCACTTTGTAAGGACCCATCTCAGCTCTCCCTGCTCTTTAATGCATTATGCTTTTGCCCACTTTGCAGATGGATAAACTGATGGGAAGTTGAGCAACTTGCCCAAGATGACTTAATTCCCTTGTGTTTGTGTCTAGCTAGCTGGGCACTTGTTACAGTATGTCGTAAGGATCTGTTTAGAAGCTTCTCTGGCTTCTCAAAAGAGAAAGAAGTGCCAGAGATAGGTCCAGTGGTCTCATGGGTCTTCAACCCTGGCTTCTTTTGGGTAAGGACAACTCACCCTGCACCCAATTCTCAGAAGATACTTCTAGAATCTGTCCCTCGTCTCCCTTCCTGGGACCTTTTCCTGTAACCAAGAAGTTGGCTCTACCCAGAGCCATTAGCTACACCCTGGAGCCTGGCGTGGTCCCTGAGGGCAGCAGGAAGTTTAGTGGGCTCTGCCCAGGACTCTGCCTAACCCTGTCTCTTGAGATGCTGCCACTGCCCCCATGGCTTGTCAGGTGGCTCTGGATCCTATGGGAACCTAATGGGGTGGACAGAGACATCTGAAGAAGTACGGTAGGAGTGACCACAGTTCCTAGTGGCTTGGTAACCAATGACTCAGCAGTAGTGTCTCTCTAGAGGAGACAGTGTCACCCCACCCAGGCTTCTGGCTCTAACCTGCCTGTTTTCTCCCCCTGCCCCTAACCTCATTATGAAAGTCTCTGTGAGATCTGTAAGTAGCCGCCCTTCCCAGGGACTTGGCTTGAAGACAATCTAAGACAAAATATTCAGAATCCTGCAGAAGTGAAGACTAGTTCACATGACCCTCCTTGGCAAGGCTGGCCATGCCCTTTTACTTGTGCCCAGACCTCCAGCAAAAGCCCGCTGTGAAATCTGGGAAATCAGGAGAGAGATCCAGAACCTCAAGAACTCCATTATGCTCCAACCCCCAGCACCCTGACAACCCATACCCTCCCCATGTGCCCCAAGGGAAGTCAGGCCCCAGGGCTCCCAGTACAGCAAGGCCACTGTGGCTCTTGGAAACAGGCTGGAATAATGCCCTGGTGGCCCAGGTGGCTTGCCTCTCCTGGGGCAGTCAGAGCCCTTGGCCCTCTTCTGCCTGCATTCTCTTTTGATAGAGTTCTCGAACAGCCCTGCCTACACCAGGAAGAAAGAAAGAAAGAAAGAAAGAAAGAAAGAAAGAAAGAAAGAAAGAAAGAGGGAGGGAGGGAGGGAGGAAAAAGGAACAAACAAGGACTCCCCCCCAATTTGGCTGGCCCTCTCTTCTGCAGAATTTCATCCAGATGTACCCCTGAGTCTTCTGCCAGAAGGATCAGAAAGCAGTCTACCAGTGATACCCGGAGGCAGACATGAAGAACGAGCACACAGAACTGAGCTTTATGTCCCTCTAGAAGGGAAATTGGGAGATGAGAGTTTCCCACCAAGGTCCCAACATCCCATTCTTCTCTGCACTTTAAGTCCCTTCCCTGAAGACATGGCTGCCACGCTGGGGCAAACCCAAACCCATGCCCTGAACAAAAGCACAGGACTTACCATGATAGAAAAGATGAGGGGAATGAGGTTGAGGGGCCAGACTGGGCAGAAGCAAGAGGCAATGGCAAGGATCAGGTAATCTTTGGGGGCTTCTTGATCCTGGGCATAGGAGGTGGTGGCAACAGAGGATGCACGTCGAGAGCTGGCCCGGGAAGGGGAGCCAGGGAGGGAGTGCTGGCGGTGCCCCTCAGAGATGACCTTGAAGGGCAGGCTGTGGCCATTCTGCTCCAGGTCCAGAGCCCCTGACAGGGACTTGGACAGATTCAGGGCTTTGTCATCCTTGTTCTCCACTTTGGTGAGAAGCTTCTCCATCTCAGGTAGCTCCAGGGGCGAGGTGGAGCCTGGGTCTTGAAAAGGAGGCTGCACCGGGTTGGCCATGTTTGCTTGGGCCTTGGGTTTCTTCAGGTGCAGGTAGGAACAGGGACAGCGTGCTCCAGAGGGTCCTCAGCACACCATTCCCCAGCTCCGATTTCAAACCTCTAGGACAAGAGTGGATGTGTATTGTGGGGAGCTGGGGCCCAGCTGGGTGCTGGAAGACTCAGATGAGCGTCTCAAGATCAGCAGGGTTCACAACTGGAGTCTGATGCTGCTGCTGCTGCTGCTCCTGCTGCTGCTGTGAGAAGCTCCCAGGAAGCTAGAGGCTTCAGCTCCGTTCAAGTTTGAGGCCAACTTTGCTGGAGCTGCTGACTGCACAGATGGGCGGAGAAGCAAGAGAAAGTCGGGAGGGCAGAGAGAGGAAGAATGCTCTTCTCGCCTCTCTAATGAGTGAGACGAGGCTGAGGCGGGGAAGCTGTGTGTGTGTGTGTGTGTGTGTGTGTGCGTGCGAGAGAGAGAGAGAGAGAGAGAGAGAGAGAGAGAGAGAGAGAGAGACAACGACAACCTCCCTCCCTCTCCATCCTCCTTGGAGATGCCTCTCTTTTTCAATTCCCTTCTCCCCAGAGAATCACCCCAGCAGCATCTTGCCTCTGGCCCGGCCCAGCCTGGCAGAGTCCACAGGGACTTGGACCAGCCTCTGGTTTCCTCTGCAGTCCCACACCTGCTCCTCTGGGCAATGGGCTTAGATAGAGAAAAAGACAGGGATCACCAAAGCAAGTGCCTCCTGCCTCTCCTCCACTAAGCAGGCTTGTTCGTCCCATCATCTGTGGGCAAGTGCTGGGCCCTGGGCCCAACCCTTCCCACGTAGGCCATCATCTCCCCAGGCCGCCACCCTCAACACTTATCTGGGGAAAGAGACCTGTGTGGTTGGTCCCTGGCGGACCGTAGGACCTTAAGCCTAGGTTCCTAAACAGCTCACCAAGGGCCATGAAGGGACCTGTGGGGTAAATGCCTCTCTGTCTCATGCCTTCTGTGGCTTATGGTGCTGAACTGTAGACAGAGCCCCCCTTGGGATTTCTCTAACAGACGCCAGCTCTGAGTGTGACCCAGGCTCTGCCTGTCTTTCCTCTAGTGCTTTCTCCGTTTCTCCTCCTCGATTCTCTTCATCTTGTTTCCTTTCCCTTCCCTGTCTCCTCGTTTTGTTTCACCAGAGTGACCTAAAGTCACCAAGGGTACACAGAGAAAGTATAGCACACTTTCGATGGGGCACACGAAATCATTTAAAATTCCAGGGTCATGCATGATGTGGGAAACCAGAGTTGGAAGCACCGCAGAGATCATAAGTTCAAATCTGTTGCTTTCATAATTCCGAAATAGAGGCTCATAGAAGAAACTCTCATCTCAACGTCATTTCAAGCGGCTTTCCCTAGCCTATGTCCTGGGGCTGGGGAGGGGCAAAACTTGCCACAGGGTGGGGGCAAAACTAGCCTGCGGGGGGGGGGGGGGGGGGAGGGGGAGGAGCAAAACCAATCACAGAGGGAGGGGGCAGGGGGATGACTTTAGTTGGTTTCAAGTTTATTTCAGAAATATTGCTCCTAGCAGAGGTAGAAGGGGAGTTGACTTCACAGAGAGCTGGCAGGAGGAAGAGAGGAAGGGAGGGAGGAAGGGATGCCAGACCTGAGGAGCAGTCACTTGTGGGACCCACCTGAAGGGGCACCTGGGAGACTGAAAGCACACCTGGGAACTAGTAAGTTTAGAAATTCTTTGAGGAATTAAGGTGAATTTTCATGTTCGATAAATTGAATTTTTTATTCAAGGGTTAGGCGTAGTGGGTAAAATGCTTGCCAAGAAACAGCGAGGAGAACCAGGGGTCCCCCAGCTTGTGGATTAGTGGGATCCTGGTTCAGACAGAGCTGTGACTTAATATAAAGGGAAAGACACCACCGTCAACCTCTGGCCTCTGCGACACGTGCACAAACTGATGTGCAGCAGCAGACGTGCCCATCCCCCACGCACACGCGTGCTTCCCACCTCACGCACATACATATAAAAGAGGGACTTTTCTTCAGTAAGGCAAAGGCATTGTTATTTGCAAAGGCAGCCCTCTAGGCAGACACTGTCCATCTCAGACCTCGGAGTGACTCTCTCTATCTCAAGCCAGGAGGAAGGCGAGGGGAATGAACTGGGTGGGTGACCCTGCCTAGGAGTTTGGAAAACTAAGCTTACGCCTTTCAAATAGAAAAGGCCGTCCAAGGCAAGGAAATGAGGTCCCTGACAGTGATGGGGCTCCTCTCATAAGTATCCAGGTACAAAGGAGGCAGGTTCCAATGTGGGAACTGTCCCTTGGATAAAGGAACCCAGGCCCAGCCTAACCCAAGCAACTTGTGGCTCTGAACACTTGAAATATGACTAATTTAAATAAAAAATTGCGGGTAAAAAGAAATATTTCAAGTAAATAAATATTGGAGGGAATCAGACATAAAGAGACCTTTTTGACTTAATAAAAGATACAAGAAAAAAGGGAATCAAGATGCCCCCAGTGTGGTCTTGGGCAGGAGCAGGACAGGGGCCTGATGGACTGTGATGGGGGGGGGGGGCGCACCACCAAGTCAGGTTGACCAGTGTCAAATACTGAGTCTGCAGTGCCACCTAGTGGTTGACACTGATAGGTGACTGACCAGAGATGGGGGTGCGCAGAAAAGTAAATAGATGTTTTGGTATTCCCAGATGACTCCAACCTGGCCAGTGGCATAGTGCGCAGTAGTCCCAGATAGGGTCCCTTCCTGTTTCTGCCTCCCTAGAGCTGGGGTGACAGGGTGTGCACACCTGGTTTACATGGGTGCTGGAAGCTGAGCCCATATCCCCTGGTATTCACTAACTAAGGCATCTCCCAGGTCTCTAATGCATGGTGTTTTTTTCCTATCTCCCCCCCACCCATTTCCTTCTTTTCTTAAAACATATTCTTATAGCTGGGCAGTGGAGTTGCATGCCTTTAATCCCAGCACTTGAGAGGCAGAGGCAGGTGGAGCTCTGTGAGTTCAAGGCCAGCTTGGTCTACAGAGTTAGTTCCAGGACTGGCTCCAAAGTTATGCAGAGAAACCCTGTCTCAAAAAACAAAACAGAAAACTTCTTATTACATGTGTCTATTTTGTTGGGGGTGGGTGCATGTATGTACCATGCAAACGTGAAAGCCAGAGGACAACTTGCAGGAGTTGCTTCTCTTCTTCCACTATGGAGGCTCCAGAGGTCAAACTTAGGTTTTCAGGTTTGGCAACATGTGACTTTACCAACTGAGCCATCTCCCTAATCCTTAACAATTCTTTTTTGTTTTAACTTACTCCATATAAAAATGGGGGTTTCAGAATTTTAGTATAAAGATATTGGGACCTAAATAGTTTTGAACTCTGACCCACTCCTGTTCACGTGATCCAGCCTGCCTGAGGAGGAGAGTACTAAGCCCTGTCTCCGCTGGACAAGTAGATTGCTGGGCCCTCCTGATCTGTGAGGACACTAAAAGTACTGAGACATTTGTATTCTCTGCCTCTGGCAGGCTTGTGAGCTCAGCACTTCTGAGACTGAGGCAGGAGGATGGAGAATTCCTGGTCAAGCAGGTGCTCTCAGAAAACAAAACAACACACACACATACACACACATAGTAAAAACTGGGCATGGTGGTGCACACTTTTAATCCCAGCACTCAGGATTTAACTGTTAAGAGCCCTTTTGCTCTTGCAGGGGAGCTGGGCTCAACTCCCAGCGTGCACACGGTGGTCCGCAACCATTTGTAACTTTAGTTCTAGTGGATCTTCTGGTCTCTTTAGGCACCAAGCATGTACACGGTGCACATACATACATGCAGGCAGAACACACACACAAAATGAATAAATTACAAAAAAAAAAACTAGTAAGGCGGCTGGAGAGTGTGTGTGGCTCTTGCAGAGGACCAGGCGGCTGGAGAGTGTGTGTGCCTCTTGCAGAAGACCAGGGGGCTGGAGAGTGTGTGCGCTTCTTGCAGAGGACCAGGGGGCTGGAGAGTGTGTGTGCTTCTTGCAGAGGACCAGGGGGCTGAAGAGTGTGTGTGCTTCTTGCAGAGGACCAGGGGGCTGGAGAGTGTGTGTGCTTCTTGCAGAGGACCAGGGGGCTGGAGAGTGTGTGTGCCTCTTGCAGAAGACCAGGGGGCTGGAGAGTGTGTGTGGCTCGTGCAGAGGAGCAGGGGGCTGGAGAGTGTGTGTGGCTCGTGCAGAGGACCAGGGGGCTGGAGAGTGTGTGTGCCTCTTGCAGAAGACCAGGGGGCTGGAGAGTGTGTGTGCTTCTTGCAGAAGACCAGAGGGCTGGAGAGTGTGTGTGGCTCGTGCAGAAGACTAGGGGGCTGGAGAGTGTGTGTGCTTCTTGCAGAAGACCAGGGGGCTGGAGAGTGTGTGTGGCACGTGCAGAGGAGCAGGGGGCTGGAGAGTGTGCGTGCCGCGTGCAGAGGAGCAGAATTCAGCTCCCAGAACTCATATTAGGTCACTCACAACCACACTCAGCTCCAACTCCAGAGGATCTGGCACCTCGTCTGGATTCTAAGGGCACCTGCGCTCATGTGCTCACCCCCCACACACATAATTAAAAGTAATATGAATAAAACTTTTAAAAAATTCAGTCAAACTTTTAAAAGTACCAATACTTCTACTGCTAATAATAATGTAAAAATTATATTTTAAAAAATACCCTTGAGAGACTCTTTGGGGGATGTTTTCCACAATCTTGCATAGATAAGGAATTTCTTTGTCCATATCAGTTTTTATAACTTTTGGCCACAGCAGCACTATTGCAATGTGTGGTCCCTTTCTGGAATTTGCTTTTAATGTGCATTTTTAAGTCATACCATTATATTCTCTCTCTCTCTCTCTTTTTGCTATGTTTGGACAAACCCATCTGATCTTAGTTGATAAGCTTCATCTCTCTAATAAATCTCTAATTTATTGTTCTTTTATAGGAACACTCATCTAGGAGAATGGATATGATCTTGGGAAGCAATTTTTTTTTCAAAACTCATGCTAGAGTTGTAGAAAATTTTTGTAAAAAATTTATGTAGACACATAATTGAGACTCTTCTGGCTTAGGCTCTCCCTAAAGCACTGGGGAGAGGAGGCAGCTCCTGTTAGGTTGGTACACACACGCACGCACACATATTCTTGAAGTCATACATCTACATAAATACATATATAATAAGAATGTGCCAAAAGATTTCATGGTAGGCGAATACATATCAACATACCGGCACTCAAACACAGAGTCCTAATGAAGCAATAAGAGGACCCATGTCGCAGACTCCACGGCTTCTAAACACCTTCCCAAAACACAGTGTCTTAAGGCAACCTCGTGAACAGATTGATTAAATAGCCCCCAGTCAGGGCTTACGGCGGAGCTGAGCACTGCCAAGTGCTTTCAACGTGTCTCATTTGCTCTGCACAGCAGCTTGTGGTGTAGCTACTGACTGTGTAGCCATTATACAAAGAGGTTAAGTGGTTTGCTCAAGGCCGCTCAACTGCAGAGCTAGGAGAAGGCAGGCCGAGTTCATTCAACTCTTGCATGTGATGCATATCCTAATCCCACCCACAGGGGGCGCCATCGATGTCCTTAGGTGAAGAATGTGATGGGGGGGGGGATGTTATTATCTTAGAATTTAGAAAAATAGGATTTGTTATGTACTTATCTTATTTCCATTGAAAAAGTCCCTGAAGGTAAAACAAGGGTAAAGCGTTGTCTGGGCTGCCAGTAACAATTTGCAAACGACTCCTGGAAGCTACCTCAGCCTCCTGGAGGTGGCATCACTGTCCACATCAGAAGTGAAGTGGCAGGGAGGCCGATCCCAGGCAGGCCCAGGTTCGTTCCTTTTCCTGCGTCCATCTCCTGCTAGAGTCTCACGCTTCGCTCCTATCTAGGCCCAGAGCAGAAGCCTTCACGTGGACTGTTTCACAACCTTGGCTGTGGAAACAGGAGCCTTAAGGCTATGGCTGGAGACAAGACGTCACTGAAAGCAGAGGGCTTCAGTTGTGACCTTGAATTTCATCTCGACTGTGCTGAGAAACCTTCATTCTCTGTATCCATTCATGCCTGTGGCATCTGTCCAGCCTCCATTCAGAGGTGGCAACAGCCCAGCAAAGAGTGCCTGCCGCAATTAGCACCCCGCGCAGGAGCCCATCCTATAGACAGCTGGCCAGCTCTCCACAGTTCTCAGGGAAAGGTGTCCCTGTGTCTCCCTTGGCTTTGGCCTAAGACCACCACTCTTCCCCAACCCACTCCTCAAAATCCTTCCTGGATTCCTAGTCTATCTCTCTACGGAAGCGGGACGCTCTATTGGCCTATCGCTCTGGGTCCCTGACCGGACCTCTTGACCTTGCCCTCAACTTCCCCCTCCCTGCGACTTGCGCAGGCTCTCTTCTCAAGGCAGACTAGACTGAGGCTCACTGCAGACAGCAGTCCGGCAGGGAGACTCACAGGTAAGGCTGACAATGACCTTAGCATCTGATGCCCCGTTAACTTCCTCTAGCACAGGGAGGAATTTCTCCAATGGCTCTTTACCGGGGTCCTGATCTCATTGCGCCCAGCCATTCCCGGTCTTGCTATAAACCAGTGCATGGATGCCTACTGGGGGCTGCAGTCCCTACCCACCCTTCCAAAGTAACCCTCAGATTCCCAGGCTTTCCTATCACACTAGGTAACTGAACTCAGTGGAGACCTGGTGGCGGATGGACAAGACACTTTCCTTTTTATTTGGTCGTTTTTCCGGCCTCTCAGATCAACAGCATCCCAGACATGGTAAGAGGGCCACAGCATGTGCCCTCAGATCAGAGCAGCTGTCCACCACAAAATCCCACTAGTCCCACTGTCCTAATGCAGCAAGAGCAAAGAGGGTTCAGAGGCACAGAAAAGCAGAGGCCACTTTCCCGGAAGAAAAGGTTGGCCAAGTCCAAACCTAAGATCTCACTCCTTCAGCACCCCAGGCTAGGGTGTGGGAAGGCTGCCCTGGCCCCCAGAGTTCCTTCCCGCTGGTAAGGCAGCCACTCAAGTCTCACCCCATCCAGTTTTGCTCTGTCAGGGAAGACTTTTGCAGTCGTCATTCTGCCAGCTAACTTGGTTTCCCTCGGGGGGGGGGGGGGGGGGGGAGTCAGGAGTGCTGATAGCCCATCCCGGAGCCCCACCGCCACGGAATCGATCCAACAGGGGGAGTTCCGGGACATCGGCGCCAGCTTCCCCCGGAGGCCTGGGCCAAACCGGACCCTTCAGCCACCACTCTGGGCCGCCCCAAGTGCGCGTGCGGGGAGCACGAAGCGCAGCGCGGTGCAGGCGGCACTAAGGAGTTGGTGGCATCCCTGCGCAGGAGACCAGGCGCTGGGGGCGGCGGCGCGGACCGAGGAGTACTGAAGCCGGAGTCCCCTGCGCCTGGGCCTTGAGCAGCCTGGCCATGACACTCCAGGTGGCTGCAGGGCCAGCGGGGCGCCGGGCTGGCACGCAGGACCAGGGAGAGCGCAGTGATGCGGTGTATGGCCCTGCGCAGCGTGGCGATCTTGGAGAGCCGCTTGCCACCCAGGTCGTGCTGCAGCGCCCGGCGCAGTGCGTTGAACGCCTCGTTGTAATCCAGGATGCGCTTACGCTCCCGCACGTTGGCCGCCATGCGCCGCGCCTTGGACCGGGTGGGCCGCTCGCGCCTTCTGTCTGCCGCCTCCTCTGCCTCATCCAGGCTGCGATTCAGCGCTCCAAAGTTCCTGCCAGCCTTGGGGCAAGAGCGCCCCAAGTGCTCCACAGAACCCTCACTCCGCTTCAGTTCCCTGAGGCCTAGTCCTGGCGTGCCTCGGAGCATGGCCTATGCCCTGGCCCTGCAGCTTCTGCTTCGGGTCCAAAGGGCTGCTGGTCCACTCTGACTGTTGGCTCTCGCTGGCTGGACACTCTCTGGACAGGCCCTCTCTAGCCTGCCTTTATGACACCACGTGGCTCCCCGCCCTCCCAGTCCATCCATCTCCCTCCTCCTGCTTTATTACCTGCCCCCAGGTAAGATGGTGAGGGAGGAACTGAGAGGAAGGAAGGAAGCGAGGAAGGAAGCGTGCAGATTCTTGTACACAGGACCAGCTGGGTAGCCTGGCCATGCCCGAGGCGGTGCTCTAGTTGTCACAGGGAACATGCTTGTTCTGCTCACGGACCCTCTGGTACGTCTGGGTTCTGTTTCTGTCTCCTGTCCCCAGAGAGAATGCTATGTTTGCTTCTGGGCAAGAGCGCAGGCAGGCTTTCAGGAGAATAGTAATAGTGGATTGAGTGAGTTTTAAGAACCCCGGGTAAGGCACCTGCTGCCAATCTGTGGGCAACCAGAGTTGACACTAAGGTTTAGCATGACCATCCCAGAAGAATCCAGAAAGGAGGAGCAGATCGGATGCAGCAAGTAACCTTGAGCTACCACCATGAGGCTGGTACGGATTCTGGGTTGGGGTTTGGATTGAGCCCAGCATTTCCCCTACCTCTCTCGTGCCCCCCCCCCCCCCCCCCCCCCCCCCCCCCCCCCCCGTCTGCAGACAGAGCTGGGCTGAGTCAGAAGCAAAGACTGGGGAAGACTTTTATTTCTGGCTTGTCTTGCAGTATGGTCAGAGAGCAGCCCTTAAATTCCAGGGCCTTGGAACACCCCTATCCCACGACACAGTATGGTCAGGTTATGAATGCAGTGGACAATCCCATTGCCATCACCAGGACTGGGATTGTAAACAAGATCAAAAAAGAGAAGAAGAAGGAAGGAAGGATAATGCTTACTCCTAGAACACATCCCCAATGAAATTTTAGGAATGCATTCATGGCTTATCAGGAGCAACATATTAAGATTAATCTCATTCCCAGTCACATTCCAAATGTTGCGGCACCAGCCAGGATGGGCACACAGGTCACATTCATGTTGCCAATAACTTCATTACTTTAAGCTGAGTTTTCTCACAGAGGAAAAGAACAGGGGCCACCGGGAAACAAACTTCATGGATTTACATATCTGTCTTGGTCACTTGACTGAAAATAACCTAAAAACTGTATTTTTCAGGGTCAGTTGCTCCAAAATGTCCAATATATGTGGAATAGAAAGCAACTAAGTCCAGTATGTTGCCATCATCTATAATCCCAGCACTTGCTGGGTAGAGGCAAGATGGCCAGGAGCTGGATACCAGCTTCAGTTACATAGAAGTTTGATCCCAGCCTGGGCTATTTGAGACCTTGCCTCAAGAACAAAACAAAACAAAGTTTTAAAAAGTGGCTAGAAGCTAGGTGTAGTAGTGCATGCCTGTCATCTCGGTGCTCAGAAAGGCTGATCAAGATCACCAGTTTGAGGCCTGTTCGTGCTGCTTATAGGGACCTTGATTTAGAAACAGCTGGGGAGGAGGGAGTTTAGCTCAGTGGTAGAGTGTCTATGCATAAAACTCTGCTTCAAAGCCTCGTATCACAAAACAAAAACAAACAAATAATAAAACAGCAAAAAAGTATACCGCAGATATTCCCAGTGTCTGGGCACTACTTCCCACCATCACCACCACCACACTCAAACAACAGGATGCAAGTGTAGATGGACCTCAGAACAGAAGACAGGCCAGGCCAAAGCCCAGGCATCCAGCTCCAGAGTGCCACATTCCATGGGTGCTCTATCGTGTCTTTTCGCCTGCTGAAGGCCTGCTAGACTACCGAGTTGTGGCCCTGTTCATCCAGGTTGACTCAGGGACTCAAGGCCTTGCCTAGCCTCTAAGAAAAGCCTGACTCTAGGGTGGACAGCCTAGGACAGGGTGGTGCACTTCAACAGTTTGGTACCAAAGGATGCTTGGTGGTGATGGGGCTCTTCCTCCCATCTGCTCCAGCCAGTGACTCCTTGCTGAGCAAACCCGTGTCTGTCATCTCATCTGCTCACCTCAGTTCCTTTTGTTTTATGTGGAAGATACCTTCTCTGTGAGAGTTTAGCCAGGGGGCTGATGAGATGGCTCAGTCAGTAAAGTGTCCACTGCACAAGCAGAGAGACCTGTTCAGATCCTCAGCACCCATATCAAAGCTGGACATAGCATCTGTAATTCCAGTGCTGGCCAGACAGAGACAGGTGGACCCCTGGAGCTCACTGTCAAGCCAGCCTCCCCATACTGAGGAGCTCAGGTTCTGTGAGAGATCGCATCTCAGAGCTACGAGATGGAGAACAACTAAGGAAGACACTTGGTTAAACTGGGATTGATGGAGGGGGTGTGGAACTAAAGGAAAGCAGACAGATAGGCATCCCTGGCCACAGAATTATTCTAATCAGAACAACTAAAAGGTCACTCTCCGCTGGAGCAGGGACTGTTTGATGTGGGTTCCCCTCTGTATGCCATGAATACCATTGGTTAATAAAGAAACTGTCTTGGGCCTATGCAGGGAATAGAGGTGGTGGGGGGGCTAAACTGAGTGCTGGGAGAAAGGAGGTGGAGTCAGAGAGAAGCCATGTAGCCCCACGGACAGATGCTGGAACTTTAAGCCTGTAAGCCACAGACACGTGGCAATACACAGATTAATAAAAATGGGTTAAATTAATATGTAAGAACTAGCCAATAAGAAGCTAGAGCTAATGGGCCAAGATTTAATTAATACAGTTTCTGTGTGGTTATTTCGGGGCTGAGCTGCTAAGCAGCCAGGAACCAACAAGCAGCTAACAACTGTTCCTTCACACAAAGGGACAGGGAGTTTGGGGCTCTTTACAGGGTAGGAAAGGGTTGGATGAGAGATTTCATCTACAGGTCAGTTCCCCTGCAGTCTTAAAGCAGTGGACACCCCAAACAGGCACACGTCTTTAATATCAGCACTTGAGAGGCAGAAGCAGGTGGATCTCTGAGTCTGAGGCCAGCCTGGTCCACATAGAGAATTCCTGGACAGCCAGAACTACTTAGAGAAACCCTGTCTCAAACAAACGAAAAAGGGCAAACCCTACTGAAAGTGGTGTGTGCTTCCTCCTCTTGTCCTAAAAGCCCACAGCTGTCGTCAGTCACATCCACTGGCTCCGTCCAGCTGGGCTGTTAGGTCACCAACCCTCCATACTGATGTCAACCCCTAACTCCCACTTGTGTGCACAAACATGTGCACATGCTCTTGCCTGCACGGATACATATACTACACACAGGCACACCAGAAAAAGAGAGAGTCAGACAGGCAGACAAAAAGAGTGTAGACAGGACTATGCCACCTACCAGGCCAAGTGGGAAGCCAAATAAAAGTGTGGAACCCTTTCTCAAAATTATTAGGAATTTGAAGATGGGGGCAGACAGCATTTCACCAAGCCCTGGTGTTCGGAAACGCTGCCTCGTTCCCAGACCCACGAGGGTAGGAAAGAGCTCAAGTGTTAGGTAGACGCTCATCTGGATACCCAGCAAGACCTTCACTACAGCCAAAGATGGGCAAGCCCTGCACATTCCCGTCACCGTGGACAGATGGAGGGGACCAATCCAAACAAGCTGTCCTTCCTCCTCCATCTCCAGAGAGCTCCCCGGAAGCAAAGGGGAAGGTGCTAGTGGGTGATAAATAGGCTTAAATTGCTTCTGATGCCCTCCTTCCTCCAGTGACTCAGTATTCTAGAACTCACACTCTGCTACGGACACTATGCAGCTTAGTAATAATTAATCATAAAAATAATAATCTTAATAGTACTGATACCGACTTCTGCAAAGTGTTTACTGTAGCCAAGGCTTTGACTAAGTGCTTTTAAGCATACATTATCTTGGCCTCCCAGCAATCCTATATGGAAGGCCTATTATTATAATACCTATTTTACAGACTGCAAACAGAAACCCAGACAAGGAACTTAGGCCACTCCAGTGAATTGACCCAGAGTTTAGCTCCCTTCTGGCTGGGCCTGCACTCCCAGCTCCTGAGCACATGTAGTACCCAGAGTCCCCACTGACCACCTGTAGCTGTTAGAAGCCTGGCATTTATTTGTCTTTTGAAGTAAAATCTTTCAAAGAACCGGGGCTGGAACGCTGTGACAGAACACTTGCTTAGCATGAGCAAGGGCTGTGGATTGGTTCCCAGTGAGAATTCCTAGGAATCGCCTGCATGTCATTCCACACCAGCCCTCATGTGTGGTGGTACATACTGCAAATGTCAGCATAGGAAGGCCAAGGCTGGAGGATTGAGAGCTCAAGGCCAGCCTGGGCTACAGAGTGAGACCCTGTCTCTCTGTCTATCTATCTATCTACTATCTAACAATCTATCTATCTATCTACCCATCTTTCTATCTATCATCTATCTATCTATCTATCTACCTACCTACCTACCTACCTATCTATGTTTTTTTGAGACAGGGTTTCTCTGTAGCTTTGCAGCCTGTCGTGGAACTAGCTCTTGTAGACCAGGCAAGCCTCACAGAGATCCGCCTGCCTCTGCCTCCAAAGTGCTGGGATTAAAGGTGTGCGCCACCACCACCACCTGGCCTATTTTATTATTTTCAAGTATATATGTGTGTACATGATGCAGGTGCCCTCTGAGGCCAGAGACAGCAGATGCTTCTGGAGCTGGAATTACAGGTACTTGTGAGCTGTTTGTCCTGTTTTGATTTTTTTTATTTATTTTATTATGTATACAGTGTTCTGTCTGTTTGTATGCTTGCTGGACATGAAGAGGGCACCAGACCTCATTACAGATGGTTGTGAGCCACCATGTGGTTGCTGGGAATTGAACTCAGGACCTCTGGAAGAACAGTCAGTGCTCTTAACCTCTGAGCCATCTCTCCAGCCCCATCCTGTTTTGATTTTTAAAAGTTCTTTTCAACCAAGCCCTTGTATTCAGAACTGTCTCCAGAACAAAACAGTTTGAATGGTAGGTAAGATATAC